GAAAAATCGTGCCCGCCATCTTGCATTTACAAATAAGTGCTATATTTTTTTTTTTTTTTTTTTTAGTTTATTGGGGTCAACAAACAGTTACACATTTAAAAATAGTACTTAATTATACTAACAAATAGTGACTTAATGAGTAACCAACACCGTTAACCACAGGTTATGTAAACAGTTACAAATATAAATGCTATAACTAATTGCCCACTAGTTGTAATGATTTTTGTTTATGAATTATGATTATTATTTATTTGCTTTAATTTATTAATAATCAATTTTTTAAAAGTGCCAACACGTGTACCATGTATATCAAATTCATTAAATGTATTGTTAAAGGATTTTTTTAACCTAAACAACGGTGATCGCTTACCAGCGTTAGTGCGACATCTGTTAGTAGCAAACAAGTGGTGAATCCGTGACGAACGCATGTGGACTTTGTTGGGGACTTTATATGATATACTGTTAACAATATCAGAGCAATCATATCTGTTATTGCATAAGTCATACAGAGTCATGCACTCCAACTGTTGACGCCTGGAATGTAGATCTAGTAAATTATACTTTTCAAGAAGTTGGTCATACTTAATTTTGTAACCTTTATACCTATAGTTTACGCAACGTAAAAATTTTTTCTGCACCCTCTCTATATTGAGTGTGTATTTTTTGTAATAAGGATTCCAAATTGGTACAGCGTATTCTAATTGAGATCTAACAAGTGACTTATATAAAATCAAAAAAGATGAAGGCATTTTAAATTCTACACTGGAGCGCATGACAAAGCCATATGACCTAAAGGCCTTGTTGATGATACTCTCAACATGTGTGTCCAAATGTAACTTGGAATCAAGCGTAACTCCAAGGTCTTTAATAGTATTAACCGTCTCCAATCTTACTCCACAAAGCTCATATGAATGTCCAAAGTACGATTTTTTCTTAGTGAATGTTACCTTTTTACATTTGTTAAGGCTCAGACTTAATTTATTTTCAGTACAGTAAGTGGTAAAGCGATCTAAATCTCCCTGAAAGCTTTCAATGTCCTGAGTACATTCAATTTTATGATAGATTTTTAAATCATCGGCGTATAGTAAGAAATTGCAAAATTTTAAACAGTTACTAATATCATTAATATAAAGTACAAAAAGTAATGGTCCGAGAATAGAGCCTTGAGGTACACCTGAACTAATTCTGACTGTCTCTGATTCATAGCCTTTGATCACTATTTTTTGTGTACGATTGGTTATATATGATTTGAACCAACGCAAAAGGTTACCACGGATACCATTAAAAGCAATTTTCTCAAGAAGTCTCTTATGGTCAACTCTATCAAATGCCTTTTGAAAATCAGTATAAATACTGTCAGTTTGCTTATTTGAATCCATATTGTTAAATAAATGATTTGTGTAAATAAGTAGATTAGTTACAGTTGACCTCCGTTGCACAAAACCATGCTGTTGTGGAATAATAATATTGTGTAGCGAGGGGTATATAGCACGATGTACTAACCTTTCAAAAATTTTAGACACCGTAGGCAAAATAGAGATTGGGCGGTAGTTTTCTACATTTTGCTTCGGCCCTCCCTTATACACGGGCACGATACGAGCTGCTTTCCATACATTTGGGAATACTCCGTCACTGAGGCATCTATTAAACAATATATGTAATGGCTTGTATATGGTTTCAGCTGTGTTCTTTAAGAATATAGCAGGTAAGTTATCTGTGCCAGGTCCTTTAGTTGTGTCTAAGTTATTTAACTGTTTTTTAATATCATGTCCAGTTAGTACTATATCACATATGTTATTATCATTATTATTATTATCATTACACATTGAGTCCAAATCTTCAATTTTAAAATTAACCGTCAAATCTGACGGAACAAACACCGATAAGAAAAACTCTGAAAACATGTTACATATAGAAAGAGGATCACTTACTAATTTATTTTTATAAGCTATCGTGTTCGGAATACTTTCTCTGGGTATTCGACTTGCTACATAAGTCCAGAAGTATTTAACATTTTTTTTAATGCTACATTCAACTAAATTTATATAAGCTTTATAACGCAAGTCAGATTCTATTTTAAAACGTTCTCTAAATATTGAAAAGATTTGATAATCTGAGACATTGTTGTATTTTTTCCACTTTATCCAAGCCCTATTTTTATTTTTAAAAATGTGTATGAGAGATGTATTGAACCAAATAGGATATGAATTAGATTTTATAACTTTTGAAGGTACATGCTTGCGGATAATGCTAAAAATTGTTTCATAAAAAATATTAACTGCCACTTCAGTTGACTTTTTATTTAACAACTCGTCCCAGTTTGTCTCAGAAATAAGTCTATTAATAATCTCATAATCGGCATTTTTATAGTTGTAACGTGAGAATGGTTTTTGACATATAATATTAGAAAGCACACATTCTGACATTAATTTGACACAAAAGGGTGGATGATACTCATCAACCGGTACCAAGGGCTGGGCCACTGGTGAGGTGGAACAATCAACTATGTTTGTCAGAAATAAGTCTAATATTTTATTTTTTTTGTTTCTGTAACTATTTATTTGATAACAACTCAAGAATGACAAAAAATTCAACAAGTATCTACATGACTGATTACAATTCAAAAATGTATTCGGTTCCATGAATTTCCCCTTATTAATCCAATCAATACCGGGTAGGTTAAAATCGCCTACTATACAAAAATTACAACAACTCCGGTCTTGTAATATTTCCTGCATGTAATCAAAGTAAGTAATACAAATATCCGCACATAAATTGGGAGGAATATAAACTGCACCTACAATATATTTTTGCGTTTCGATATGTATCTCCAGCGTAATATGGTCTATTATCGCGTTAGGAGCGGTAAATGGTGAATGAGCGGGCCCAAAACCGGTTAGCGAGCCGCATGCCAGCGGCCGCACGCTCATGCTGCCAGAGCACGAGGATAGCTCGTGTCGAACCGCAATAAGTACCCCGCCACCGTCACCCCGCCCGCTCGCGACGCGATCCCTATCACACCTGTACAACTGATACCTGTTATCTATAATTTCACTATCAAATATCTCATTGTGTAACCACGTCTCTGTAAAGACAATTATGTCGTAATCACACTGTAAGACATTCATATATAACATGTGTAGTTTGGATCTTAAACCACGACAATTTTGATAGTATATTGTTATAACTTTATTCATGAGTAAAAACAAACAATATTCTTCGTGATGACAACAAGATTTAGGTAACATGTTACTATGTAGAATGCATCAAGATATTTAGTCACACAATATGTCAGAGCATCAACACCATATGAAAGTAACATTATTCTAATAAAACGCACGTAAAATACTGTGAAATAATAAACAAAACAATTGTTATGCTCGATAGAAAACTGGTTTGTTGCACGGCTGGCATTATATTTTTTTTGTAAACATAAACTTTGTATGGGCAAGTACATAATTAGTTGAGCAGTTCGAAAGTATTTTAAGTAATGATATAAAAAAATATTTAAACTAAGTGAGGGCAAGTTAACTATTAAGCGGTAGATAAAGTTAATTAATTTTTTTGATGTCGTGCTGCGACCGGATCGCGATGACCGGTGATGTGTCATTTTTTCTCGCCAAGATGATTCCATGTTTAACCCATACATAACGATACTCACGTATTTTAGCTTTTTCTCGAGTTTCTCGAAATAAGATCTTATTTTGCAGGGTTAAATGTTCATTAACGTAAATCTTGTGTGGCGGTCCGGTAATCGCCAGATTTTCAGAAGTAATATCCTTTTTGGAGCGGAAGGCCGCAATAAAATTGTCACGAGTCATTCTGGAGGCGAATTTTACTATAATATTTTTAGGTCTAGAGTCCTTTGTGTTGGCATGGGGCACTCGATGTAAAGATGTTATATCCGTTGGACTAATTTTATAATTTATTATACCTCCCAGATGAGTGAAAATAGTTATCAAATTTTCTCCTCGCTTTTCAGGCACGTTACAAATTTCGATGTTGTTTTCTCGCGCCTGTTGTTCCATCAGTGCCAATTTATTTTCCAGCATTATTATTTTTTCAGAGCTAGAAGGATAATCGCCAGCGTACTCTTCTAAAATTTTCAGACGCCCATCAAAGGAATCCTGGCGCTCATCCATAGCGTTTAGAGCTTTATCAATATCCCCGAGTCTGGTATTACACTCTTTTAGGGATTCCTTGATGCTGGCGTTATCCTTACTCAGTCCCGATATTGCAGTTAAAATTTTGTTTACTTCGGCGGTCATTACAGTTTGTACCGAGGAGGTCACCATCTCGCTAAGTTTCTCATCCAAATTACTTGTTTGAAACCCGTCAAATTGTTTACGCTTTCGCGTATTTATATTGACTTCATTATCATATGTTGATAGATCGGGATTTGATGGACACTTAGGTGGTGATCGCTGCATAGTGTATAATCAATCAGTTATGGTTTTTTTCCCTTAGCACAAAGTTGGTTCCGGGGGTGAGGTAAGTACTCCTCAGTCACTGCTCCGAGATGCGATGCCAGAAAGAGTACGTGCGATGCGAAAAGAGTATCACAGTATAGTCACAAACACATCAAAATGTTGCACTTTATTTTATTTTCTCACTTAGTTATTCATGCAAGCACACGATATTAGTTCTTCAGATGTAGTAGATAAAAACTATTTTTAACTGTATTATTAAGTTACAACGCAAAGTGGAATGATTAGCACATCCACACTTTTAGAGCGCACGACGATGAATATTCGTAATGGTACCCCCCAGTACCTCGAAAACGATACCCATATTGCATTTTTTGAAGAATCGTGTCCGCCATCTTCGATTTACAAACAATTGCTATATTTGTAATGAGCACCCCCAAATACCTCGAAAACGATACCCAAATTGCATTTTTTTGAAAAAACGTGTCCGCCATTTTGGATTTACTAATAAGTACCATATTCATAATGAGCACCCCCAAATACCTTGAAAATGATACCTACATTGCATTTTTTGAAAAATCGTGTTCACTATTTTGCTTTTACAAATAAGTGCTATATTCGTAATGAGCACACCGAAGTATCTCGAAAATTTATTTATTTATTTATTTATTAGACACAATACATTTATCATTACAGGATACATTCCTTACGATAAAGTAGCACATTTTTTATTTATTTAATATACACAGAATAATAATAAATTACATCTACTTCTTTTTATAACATATAATATAAACAGTTAACCTAGTGAATTCACTCAAAGAACATGAGAAAAGGTCAATCATTTCCGCTACTACATTTAGTGTATGCAGTGTCCTGGACATCGCCGATTTTTTAATAAGGTCAGTTCTAGCCGTCGGCACGGCCAGCAAACGGGGCCTACGACGTCTCCCAACGTAATTATCTGGGACACAAAAATTTATAGTGGCTAGTAACTCCGGGTTGTATATTTTTGCATTCAATATTGATAAAATATACCGGGCTAGTGCAAATTCCCTCCTAACGTTCAGTTCGTTGTACCCCACCATGCCCAAAATAAATAACGTGGGATACATAAGTGGGAAGAAAGGATACACTCCATACTGCTTAAAATATAAAAATCTCAAAAACTTTTTTTGAACCCGTTCTACCATCAGCACATATTTAGCTTCAAATGGTGTCCATATCATTGAATTAGTTTCCAACTGGCTCCTAACTAATGCATTATATAACGCTGTAATAGCTTTGACGTTACTGAAGCCGCTAGCTGTGCGCAGTATAAAACCCAGTTTGCGGAAGGCCTTCTTACAAATATCTGTTATGTACTCGCGGAATGAAAGTGTATTTTTAAGTTGCACTCCAAGATCACGAACCTCTGATACCCGCCTCATGGAAACCTTATCAACCGTATATGTGTACTGTATTGGGGACTGTTTACGCGTAAATGAAATTATTACACATTTCGATGTATTAAAACGCAGTTTATTTTGCCTACTCCACTCCACTACTCTATCAATATCAGCCTGAAGACGATCAGCATCCGACACATTTTCTACTGGCAAATATAATTTTAAGTCATCGTAATAATCAAATCAAAATGATACCCAACTTGCCATTATTGGAAAAATCGTACCCGCCATCTGGCATTTAGAAATGCTAAAATTCGTGTCAGCCATCATGTATTCAGATATAAATGCCATTTCCAGAAGGATTTCCAAAAATAAATTTATGAAAATTCTTCTCTTCTTGAATTTAGAAATTAATGCCACATTCTCAATAAGCACTCCTAAACAACTCGAAAACGTCTATAATTCTAGTAGTCGGCAATGTCGACCGTATCAGTAGGCTCCCAATCGACATTGTCGATCGACAATGACGATCGACATCGATCGTCAATGTCGATCGTATCTGTAGGCACCTTAAGTTTTAGGAAAATCGAATTTTTGTGGTTTTTTGGAAAATATTTCTTTGTGGTTTTTTAAATGTTTTAAGTTAGATATCGCTATTTTTATTATACTAATATACGCGAAATTATTGTAGCTATGGAATGGTATAAAAAAAAAACTAAAAACTTAAAGTATGTCAGAGATAGCGCATTTCGGTTTAGCAGGGCAGAATAGTGGTTGTAATAAATGTGTTGGTACCGAGTGGTGCTACTGTATTGCTTGTTGTAACTATTTACCTCACCTGCCCTCACTTCATCCATTACCGTGCTTGGTATACCTACTACCGTCGAGCTAACAGTGCTTATGATCAAAGAACTTTTACACATTTTTTCCAGACAAAGCTGATGAAAAATCGGCCTATTTAAGGTATTTAAATTAATTTTGTAAGTAAAATATCACTCAAACACAACTATTCAATACAGGTTGTATTAAAACCATGTTTAGGTCGTTACATTGTGAATATCGGTAGGATTCGTCAATTTTCTTCCTCGCTACAGTCGTTTTACGCCATTTTCGTAAATTTTTCGCGGATTCCGCCACTACCCGCGACTGTTTTTAATTTTAAAAACAGTAAAAACTATTTTCATATGATTCTAGTGTTAATGGATATGTATTTAAATGCTCGTCACCTTCAAATATATTTTATTTCTTAATAAAATGTATATATATATAGTGGTTAAGTGTTAAAGCGTAAAATACTATGAAAGTTTCTCAGAATTAGGGCCGCCGTCCACTTTAGCTATGTTCTTGATTCTGCGTAAGTAGGTATAACTAAATATTCAATCGAAAACGTAGCCATCTGTTCAAATTCTGAATTTATACGATTTGTTATTTATTAGCAGTTAGTACAAAAATGTGTTTGGCATGTCACCATTAAGCACTTTACGATTGTGTTACTTTAGTATGTACCTATTACGGTTAAGTATTGTAGTTACGTTCTTCTTTACAACAAATATAATAATTATAATATACACATTCTATTACACAAACAAAAGCAGATACCTACACAGCAAATACACAACACACACATACTTCAATTTATTCCCAGAGGGCGCCTATTAGCAATACTTAAAATTTGTGTGCGGAGCGCCTAAACAAGTAAACAATCGTTGCGCGATTTGGTGTAAACAGCTTAGGCGCGCCGGTTTTTATTAAGAAATTAAAGTTTAACTATTAAATGTTACTTTACAACTTACATATTTAATTGTACGCATAATTCATTATCTTTCGATTAACGTAAAAATCTAAGTGATATGGTGTATATGTATGCGATGTGAAATAAAAATGTGACGTCCTTAATACACTAGTGAGAAAGGGAGTTAAGTCATTTCGAAAGCTGATTTTCAGGTACTTATATCGTATTTCATATTGTGTTAGTGTCTGATAGGTAGGTTAGATAGCTTTATACTACTGTTGTTAATATTTCCAGTACAAAGCTACTAAATCACGAGTTATTAATTATCAAAATACGAGAGAATTATCACAATGTTATTGTTAAATGTCCAAATGATGTAATATTTTTCCATCTTATTTTTATGTTATTTTTCGAGAAATAGCGATAAGTTTACCTTCAATATAAATGTTTATAAAGTATACTTTAAGGAGTAATTTCATGGTAAACGTTAGAGCCACTCAAACGTAATATTATCGTATTTATCCAAGTACACCAAAAATTTCATTCGTGCTTTTTAAGTGCAGGATTTGCAGTGTATTACTGCATTTTATTTGAGATGTTTTTGTTGGTATTACGGAGTGTATTTATTTAGCAATGCAGAATAATAATTTTTATTTATAAAAACTTGTATTTAGATTGAATGCTTTTCTAACTTGCGAAATCAAATAGCCGCCATTTTGCGGTAGGTTTATCCTATCCTTTAAGGGCCGTGTAGGTGGGGGTAGCGCATCGCGTGAGCGGATAAAAAAACGCTACTTACAGTATGTCTTCAATAATTAAGCACTGAAATCACCAGCCCAAACAATAACACTCACACGATTGTCGTGACTTATTTTTGGAGTTGTTTATTTTTTTTAAATGACAAACCCAGGCATTAAAACTTTATGGTTAGCTAGAGTAGACAACCGTATTTTAATTGTGGAAAAACTTGGAGTTGGATTAGTGATATAATAATGTTTTAGTGTCACAGGTACGTTTTGGGCGGGAACTTGGGGCTAAGGGAGAAAATCGGGTACACAAATAATGAGAAAGGGGGTAATGTAGAATTTCATAAAGAAGACAAAGAATGTGCATCTCTCGGCGAAATCGGATAGTAAGCCATTTCAACTTTGCCGCTCACACGATACATGCAGTCGTAGATGCATGCCGCCACAGAGCGTTGCGCGATTCATGCGTCTCTGGAAGCATAACACACCTAGAGGTGCCGGTGATGATTTTATACCGATTTATCGGATATCAAATAAAAAAGGAATTCGTTTACCGTGCTTAATCCCTATTCCTACAAAGACTGGTGAATTGTTACCTCTGATACCTATATATGCAGGATTATCTGCATTAATATGTTCACTGGCTGGTGGCGCAGCTGATATTACTAAAGCAGTAAACGATTTCAAATCTGCACAACAGAATTTAAGAGAATCTGAACGACATAATAAGACTATGGAATCAATTGCCATTGAGAAGGGACTTTACGTTAAAACCTATAAGAAAGGAAATGGATTATATTTAAACCATAAAAAAAACGGAAGAAACTGCTACCCAAACGAGCACTGACTAATTTAGATATATTAGAACATACTACAGATTCACCCTACTTTCGAGGTGTTTTTATGAGAGATAGATTGCGAAAAAGACGAGAAAAAAGGAATGTGCGATTTTGAATTTAGATAGCTCTAGTAATCCTGGCACTCATTGGGTAGCTTATGAGAAAGTAAATGATTATTGTAAATATTTTGATAGTTTTGGTAACTTAAAACCCCCGCTAGAATTAGTAAAATATTTAAAGGTCAGTACTATTAATTACAATTACTGTCAGTTTCAAACATTTGGAACTATAAATTGTG